TGACTCTAAAGGACTCGAAGAAACCCAATGACAGGTCAACTGGTGACCCAAAAGCTGATGCCCATCAACACTCTGACAAAGATGTTATCCTTTTTTTCCCTTGTAATAATCAAGCTTCACAGCCTGGTCTATGACTAAATCAAAATTTAGAAGCCATCAAGTCAGGATAAACTTGCTGACTAGGCTCCCAATTCGATCAGATAGCCTAATTTCTTCAGCTATGAAGCAGGAACTGTGTTTTCAATAGATAGTTTGGCTCTCGGTCACACTGTTTCTATCTGCTGGCCTTTTGAGGAATCATCTTGTCGCTACTCTCAGCCCAGACTGGGTCCTGATTTCTCTTACTGTTTCAACCACCCCTAAGTCTTGGAGTCACCTGAATGACACACCATTAGCTATTTGTAACTGAAGACTGTACCAGCCAGAATGGAAAGAAGTGACTTGTGGAGTGTTTCATTTATATTACAGAAATATTTCAACCCCAGGAGGAACTTATTTATACTCTCTATACCCAGGGTTCCATGAATTAATTTATTCAAAGCAGTTATATTAATAAATATAAATATTTATTTGTATTTTTCTGTGATACAGATTTGATCCCTACTTAGAAGAAAAAAAGACCTTTCTAAAAGCTTCTATTGACTTATAGAACTTGGATCTCAAAGATGCTACTTGAAGTGCTATTGAAGGAAAGTCTCCAGCAGATGAGCATGGTGTAGGTGCTATTTTACATTAATTATTACATTAGTAGGTAGCCACTTTTCCTTCCCTATCTTGTTTGACAGACTTCCCAGAAAAGAGAGACCAATTAACTCTTTATTTTGGCAGAGATCATTCTAGGTGTTCTTTTAATGGGTATTATTCTTGTTAAATTATGGATGAACTTGATAGTAAGACAAATGCCATTATCTGAGTTATTTATTCATGGGATGTCGTCTGTAACATACCCACACTAGTTTTTCTCCAGCTTTGGTATTGATCAATCGCTTTAATCAGTTGTACCAAGGGATGCTAAAAGACAGCTATCACAGCTTGAGGACCAGCATCTCTCTTTGGGTCTCTGCCAGGCCAAGAGTGAAAACTGTGGCTACTTTTAAACTCTTGGAACATCTTACGGAAAACCCGAACAAATACTTTGTCCAACCCAATGGAAGCGGATGGATGGCTCCTTACGTTCAGAGCAGGTGAATGGACATCCTTCTCCCAACCTCACATATGGAAAGTCTTCACCTTGCATACCGCCATGTTTTTGTTCACACGTTTTGTTCAACTGTGATGTTCATTGGAAGGACCATAGGCATCCCACTCTGCCCTCTCTTAATGATGCCCACACATCTTTTCAGCCTTTGCTTTCAAAGCAAGTCACAAAGTCTGCTGGCTCCCCAGAAACACATGGGCAAGGCTTCAGTAGACAATCAGCATTCTGTCCAGAGGCAATTAAAGATGAGATAGTTGGGGCTGTGTTTTTATTTATACTGTGTAATGAGGCCCCAAATTAAAAAAGCTATATCCTAATCTCCATTAATGTAAGGAGTTGCAGTCTTGTGAGTGCAGTGGCCCATATTAGGTGACAAATTTATCATTTTTACACTTTCTTTCAGTGTCAAGATTCAGCATTTCCCGAGGACAAGTGCTGATGCAAATAGCAGGAGAGTTCCCCTCCCTCCTCATACTACTGTGGAAGTGGGTTTCATTTGAGCCATAAGATCTGACAGACTGTGCATTTGTGGGCAATTTGGGCACACCTTGGGTGGTATTAGAAAGCATACAGTCAGAGATGGGGGCTTTAGCTTCCTAAAGACTTGCAATCATGACCCTGAAATGCACAGCTTGGATTTCTTTTTACAATTGTGCAACAGAATACATTAAAATAAAGAAAGCAAGAAACAAAGGCATAAGTGAAAATTGGTAGTTGGGGGTAAGAAATCAGTGTCAAACCATAATACTATTTTTTAAATTTCCTCAGTCGTGTCCAGCTCCTTGCAGCCACATGTACTGTAGCCCACCAGGCTTTTCCAGGCAAGAATACTGGAGCAGGTTGTCATTTCCTACTCCAGGATATCTTCCTGACCCTGGGATCAAACCCTGGTCTCTTATATCTCCTGCATTGGCAGGTGGGTTCTTTACCACTAGCACCACCTGGGAAGCCCTAGACCATTTTAAGCTTTTGTATTTAGATTCCTAAAGGCATTTCCAAAAGCCCATCCCTTTACAGAGCTGCTCCACTTTCTTATGCACAATAAGACCCAGTTGTCTACAAAGAGCTTCTGATCTGTTTCTCTGCATTTCTTAATGTGGTTGGTAAGACCCGGAAAGGCTTTGTTTGAGAAGAGAACTTTACCAAGTGGGGTCTGCATTAGTTTTTAGATTTAGGCCAGAGGTCTGAACGGGACAGGGGCACTTGGGGAAGGGTAGAACTTCTTTGGGTCAGCAAAGCACTACTGAGTAACTGCTGAGAAATTCAGGACAGCCTGTATAAAAATGAGTCCTGTGATCAGTTGAAAACTAGTTCCCCCAAATATCCACGCCTTAGTCCCTGGAACCTGTGAATGTTACCTTCTAAGGCAAAAAATAGTCTTTGCAGTTGTGGTTAATTTAGGGATATTGAGATGGAGAGATTATTCTGGATGGCCCAGTGTGCCCTAGATGGAGTCACATTCCTTGTAAGAGGGAGGCAGAGGGAGGGTCTACACACACACTCACACACAGACACACACAGAGGAGGCGATGTGACCACGTGGCAGAGATTGCCGTGATGCAACCATAAGCCCAAGAGTGCCGAAGCCTCTAGAAGCTGCTCGAACGAAGCACCCATTCACCCCTAAACCTCAGGAAGGAGCTGGATTTCAACCCAGTAACACCAACTTTGGACTTTGGGACCTCAAGAGTGTCAGAGAATACATTTCTTTTGTTTTAGGCTTCCTATTTCATGGTAAATTGTTACAGCAGTGTCAGGAGACGGATTCAAGTCCCCGTGGATTTGGGGCTTCTGCTCTTTGAGCCCGCACCCCACCATGCTCCATGATTATTCTTTAAAAAAATTTTTTAATTGACTACTCTTCAAGGATAATTATTGAGCTATTTCTAGAAAATACTCTGTTTTCAAAGAATGCAAAAGAGTAAAACATCTTCACTCCCACTCAGCTGCTGTCCCCCAGCAAGTTTTCTGAGGGAACCTCAGACCCAGATTTAAAGCCTCCCAAATACTCACTTTATCATCCCAAGCCTCACCTCAGCCTGTTAACCCGACCCACATAGTCACAATTTTCCTTCCCTTTTCCAGATCCCAGAGTCTTCCTTGAGGCTCCTACCTGGGAGCTCTCTGTCCGCACCTGCCTCCAATAACCTCCAATAACCTCTTTTAACCCTTCTGTGCCATCTGCCACAGAAACACCCTGTCCTGTACCCATCTAACTCCATGGCGGAAGAAAAAGCCTTTGTATCCTCCAAGGGACCTGGACCAGCTTCACACCTTGAGGGACAGGATTGATCTGAGTACATTTTCCTTGACCAAATAGCATGAGAATTGTGCAGAGGCAGGTGGGCTGATCCTGTGTTCCCCAGGCCTGGACTGTGGAGCATTTTATGTGATGGAAAAGGGAGACCTTGGGCAGCTCTGTAGGTCAAAACTCAAGACATCAGATTTAGTGCTTTCAATAGGCACCAAGTAGGAGATGCTAAAAGTCAAGAGCTATGGAGAAGGTAAAGGACTGGAGGGAGGTGGGGTGCACTAAAAGAGTCTGACCATGTGTGCAGAGTTGGGGAGCCTGTAGTTTGTGTCTTCAGAATGGGCCACCCAGAGAAATGAAGCCCCCAAATCCATGAGTGAATAGACATCAGTGAACACACGTGCTGCTGCAGATGGGGTTGGCACACATTTGCCCACTTCTGTCCCCCTGCATCACACCTACCCAGGAAGTTCATGCCACCAGGTATAGAGCCAGTCAGCTTTCTACTTATTTAGAGGTCAGGGGCCAAAGCTGGACTGTGGTGTCCCGGGAGCTGTCTGCAGGGCCTTCAGTCTCACTCAGGCAATTCTGTAATTTGTAAGCAAATCACATGATTATTTCACTCACAACCATTGCTTCTTGTTGCAGCAATTCGATACAGGTTCATTCATAAGCAGTCCTTCCAGTGTAAGTCAGTTCACAGACTGCTGCAACCATCTGAACATTAGTTCCCACAGAATTAATCCAGCTCATCTCAGAGCGCTCTAGTATATGTCATTAATAAGAAAGAATTCTCCTTTTCCCTGCCCTATCTGGCATGTGTTCCAAGACCCTAAGGAGCCTGTTGAATCCTTGGGTATCAGAAATCTCATTCCCATTGGATGGAAGAATAGAGTTGGCTGGACTTCCTACCTTCAGCACTGGCACTCCCATTTGGCTGTCAGGAGGCACTGCCCCTGGTCAGGATTCAAGAAACTATTGAAGATCGTATAATTTAGTAGTCTCCAGGTGGTTAAAAGGGAAAGAGAGATTTTTGTGTATTTGTTAAGCCTATGATGAAAAGAAAACCCACAAATAACTAGGGTATCAATTGAAAGATTTTTTAAAGGTATAAATCTCTCCTTCACATTTAGGTAACAGCTGGGGCAGTTCTAGAAGAAACCTAGATAATACCATTCATGATGATTGTAATAGCTGGTAATTGACTGGACTCTGTGTCAGAGATTCAGATACTCTGGCTTTGCGCTTGCAACAGCCATGTGAAACCCGAACTCCTGCTCAGCCCAGGTTTACGGATGAAGAAACTGAGGTCAGCCAGGTTAGGAGACTTGCAAAGGTCACACACCACTACTTAGTGGTGGAGCTGGGGTCAGAGCCCAGCAATCTTTCTCGGAGCACATGCTCACTGGGATGCCCAGAAAAAAAGATTTATACTTTGGTAGCAGGTATAAATCTGAGTCTATAAAGTCAAGGTGGTTTCCTGTCTATCGATCAAGTTCACATCATCGCTAAGTCCTTTCTGCCCCTGGGCTGGACGAGAGAGAGACTCACTGTTGGGGTTTCCTCATCATCCCCTTCAGGGGGTCTGAGCAGGGCCGGGGGATCTGATGGTGAGATCTGGGGTGGCCGCGGCTCCTCCGTCTTCCTGGTGTCACGCAGCCCCGGGTCACGGGGTGAGCTCTGCTCCGCAGCTTCCCAGTAAAGCTTGGGGTGGTAAGAGCATCTTAGGGTTTCCCCCATCCACCTCCCCGGAGGCCCCGCATCAGCCTCAAGGAGGGAGCAGGTCCTCACGGGCCTGAACTGGGGAGATCAGCTACCCTGCTTCCCCGTTCTCCCACCCCCTCCTTCTCTCCCCAGAAGATGCGCTTCCCTGCTACAAATCCCCAGCAGGCACGGATCTTGATATCTGCTTGAACAGGTAAAGAAGGTAAGGGCAGAACACAGAGTGAAAACGTCAGCAAATACAGCAAAATAAGCATCTGTCGCATCGCCCTTCATACCCGTGACGTTGGCCTCACCGCTGGTCCGCGCTCTCACCCGGCGCAATCTTTCTGGCGCAGGCATAGTTCCCCATTTTAAAAAAATCTTTAGTAACACTTTCTTCTCCTGTCAGGTGAAACTTATGTTGCCTAGGCTTTGTCTCTGACAATAAAAGATGCTCTTAAGAAAATGCTTTAAATGTTCCTTGATTAAAAATCCCAACAGGGACTTCCCTGGTGGTCCAGTGGGTAAGACTTCACCTTCCAGTGCAGGGGTGAGAGTTTGATCCCTGGTCGGGGAGATAAGATCCCACATGCCTTGCGGCCAAAAAACCAAGAATTAAAAAACAGAGCCAACGTTGTAACAAGTTCAATGAAGACTTTAAAAATGGTCCACATCAAAAAAACCCTTAAATAAAATTCCCAACAAATTGAACATTAAAGCTGATGCCCGTGAGGTAGTGGGCAGTGTATAGATGACCAACTTTTTCTATGTCAATTCATATCCGCTGTACTTCTTAATATGTCTTATAATTTGTATTTTAATTTATAATTATCTCGGAAGATCTGATTGTTTGGAATTCATGCTCTTCACTACTCCAGTTATTAAACTCTTTAGAAAGATTATTAAAGGAATATTTAAGTGTCTCATTTCATGGAAATTAGGAACACTGGGTTACAATTAAGTATATTTATTCAGAAAGTTGGGCAGAAAATCTCTAAGGAAGATAGAGTATTTACTGTCCATATTGGGTTCAGGGGTCAATGTTGCCATGTGTGGGCCTTTTTAAAAATGATATTGTTTCTGTTTTATCTTGTGTTTATCTCTCCACCAGGAGTAAATTCCTAAACAGTCAATGCATACAGGGTACTTGTGGGGATGCTTTCTGAGTAGACCTCATCTTCAGGGATCATTTTATTTCCACAGTTTAGTGCCTCCTTACTGGAACAGAACACTCCATAATTTTTTCTAAAGATTCTATCAGTCTTGATCCAATGTGCTGGGTGATAAATGACGGGAGGTTGGCCACAGAGGAGAAGGAAGGAATGAATCATGCTGTCTCCTAGTAACCAGTCAGTAAAGAGCCTCCAGCACGTATGTTAAACCCCAAAGCACACTTACCTTTGGTATCATCCTTAGACAGACGGTCTTAATCTATATTTGTGCTCTCATCCTTCTTTCAAAACTTCCAAGAAGGTAGAAGAAATGTAATCAAGTATGCATATGCCTACTCTCTCCTTCCAAACCCAAACAAAGCCCACTTACCCTGGGAGACTTTCCCCACAAATCTTTATTTGCCCTTGATTTGCTTTTCTGTGTGTTGCTTGTATGTTAAGTGATGAAACAGTGTTTACTATGTATTCTTTTTCATTTACAGGTGCCTTTCTCTGTATACCTTTTAAATCAGCTAGAGTTGGTATGTGGTTCCATGATTTAGGACAAAGGTCGATGAAATCTCAGGATAGAAAGCTGCAGAAAATATCTTTTTCATGAATCCCATCAATTAAAGATTGAATCTTACATTTTTAAAAGCTTTCTTTTTTATTTTTTGACTTTATTTTACATTGGAGTGTAGCTGATTAACAATGTTGTGGTAGTTTCAGGTGGGCAGCAAAGGGACTCAGCCATTAATATTCATACATCCATTCTCCCCCCAAAATCCCCTCCCATCCAGGTTGGCACATAACACTAAGCAGAGATCTCCATGCTACATAGAAGGTCCTTTTCAGTTACCCATTTTAAATATAGCAGTGAGGACATGTAGATCCCAAACTCCCTAACTATCCATTACTTACCTATGCTGTATTGGTTTTGAATGTTAAATTTGTTAAGATTATGGAAAACATCAACTCTCCCTAAATGACAGGTAAGAAAAGGAAGAATTAAGCGCATTAACTGTATTCTCCTGTTAGACTGTTTCCTCCAAACATTGAGGATGAGAGGCTTCAGGGATATGGAGGAAAGCAAGAGAGTTAGTGCTGGGGCTTGGAGCCCCAGAAGAGGTGCCATGTAAGCTGAAGTAGAAGGTACCATAGACAGACAGGCAGACAGCTGCAAGAATGCTTCAGGAAGCATTTTGCTCTGTCTAATTTGGTCTTTTTATTAATTAGGCAGCCACCTACTTGAGCATTTATTTCATATTTCAAACATAACACGAGCTTTTCAGAAACAATCCTTTTAATCCTCTCCAAAATTCCATCAATGGGTCTTTTGTCTATATGCACCACCTGAGTCTTGGAGAGGCAAAGCAATTTACCCACTGTCACAGAACGAATGAGATACAGAGCTGAGATTTGGACTCAAACTTTTCTGACCCTGGAGTAGATCTTTTTAACCACTCAGCTGCACAGTTTTCCTCTCCAAGCCTCAAGTCTGAAGCAATCTGAAAAATAAGTTTTAGTGTTTATTAATCTAGTTAAGGAGTAGTTGTAGAATTATATGATGATCATAAAATTGTAGCAGTGCTAGGAATATTAGAAAGCACTTAATTTTGTGGTTTTCAAACTAGTTTCCAGATTGCTCAGAGGTGCTCAGTGGCTGCCCAAGGGGAGGCAGAGGTGGAGGAGATGGGAAGGCCGAGGGCCAGAGATCCAGATTTTTCAGTCCCTTTTTCCAAAGACGAAAACTTCCCTCTACTTTTTTCACATTGGAGTTCTAATCAAGATTTCCTTTAGGGGAAAAGAGAAGATTCAATACCATTCTGAAAAAAAAAATGAGTGACAATCACTGAGCTAGTGATTGAGACAATCTTTCATTTTACAGGTGAACAAACAAGAGAGCTAAACAGTCATTTAGCCAAAGCCACTCTGTTAAAATTATAGTGTCTCTGAGATGGAAGCACCCTTGAGGGTCATCAGGTCCAACCTTCCCCCACCATCGGCCTCCTCTAACCTGTGTTCACCCACACTGGGCCCCAAATCCTCTGTTTCTGGGAGCTCATAGTCTACAGAATCTCCCCTATCTTCCTTGTCCTTAGAAAACATGTCCTCATAATAAGCAAACATCTGCCCTTCTATAGCTGTGGGAGCCAAATAGAAGAATTAAAGTCATTCTTCCCACCTGACAGCACTTCAGATATTTGAAGACACCTAACATGTCCCATGAACTGTGGTGCTGGAGAAGACTCTTGAGAGTCCCTTGGACTGCAAGGAGATCCAACCAGTCCATCCTAAAGGAGATCAGTCCTGGGTGTTCATTGGAAGGACTGATGCTGAAGCTGAAACTCCAATACTTTGGCCACCTCATGCGAAGAGTTGACTCATTGGAAAAGACCCTGATGCTGGGAAGGACGGGGGCAGGAGGAGAAGGGCAGGAAGAGAAGGGGACGACAGAGGATGAGATGGCTGGATGGCATCACCGACTCAATGGACATGAGTTTGAGTAAACTCCGTGAGTTGGTGATGGACAGGGAGGCCTGGTGTGTTGCGATTCATGGGGTCACAAAGAGTTGGATACGACTGAGCGACTGAACTGAACTGAACATGTCCCAGGGCTTCCCTGGTGGCTCAGTGATAAAGGACCCTTCTGACAATGCAGGAGACACAGGTTTGATCCCTGGGTTGGGAAGATCCTCTGGAAAAGGAAATGGCAACCCATTCCAGTATTCTTGCTGGGAAGTCCCATGGACAGAGGAGCCTGATGGGCTGGAGTCCATGGGGTCGCAAAGAGTTGGGCTTGACTGAGCAACTAAACAACAACAGCATGTCCCCACTGGATCTGTCATCACCATGTACAAACTTTTGTTGTACATGGAGCGCCATTTTCACAACTATTCCTCAGACAACACAAATTCTTTCAGTCTGCTTGTCCCCTTTAAAAAAGGTGTCAGTTTGTTTATATCCCCTTTAAAGAGTCAAGTGGGGAATTGCACATGATGCTTCAATAAAATTTAAATTTGTTCATTAAGTCTTCTTTTAAGCTTCCACTCTTTACACAATATTGTCTTAACTTCCTCAGGGTGGGCAAGTATTGATAAGCAAGAGAAATAATGTGGAGATACTATTACTTACAGGCTGTTGCTTACACTGTCTGAGCCACACAGGATGAGATGGTTAGAGATCATCACCAACTCAATTGATATGAATCTGAGCAAACTCCAGGAGATAGTGAAGGACAGAGAAACCTGGCATGCTGCAGTCCATGGGATTGCAAAGAGTCGGACACAAGTTAGTGACCGAACAAAAATCATGCACACAGACAAAAATGCGTGCCCACCCTTTCTTTCTCTCCATTTCTTTTCTTTATTTTTTATTTTTGGCATTTTTTGGAGACACTGAAGAGATTCACATCAACCTGTAAAAAATAATGCAGGGGACAATTTGTGCCTGTTACCAATTTCCCCCAATGACAACATCTTTCAGAACTATAGTACAATATCACAACCACAATATTGACATTGATACAGTCAAGGCACAGAGCAGATTCATCACCAAAGATCCCTCATGTTGCCCTTAGACAGCCAGACTCACATTTCTCTTCGTTCAGTTCACTCCTTAACATCTGACAACCACTGATGTGTTATCCATTTCTGTAATTCTGTTATTTCAAAAATAACATATAAATAACATATAAATAGAATCATGCTGTGTGTAACCTTTAAAATTTTTCTTTTATTGGAGTTTAGTTGATTTATAATGCTATGTTAGTTTCAGGTGTACTCCCCTCTGTTTCTTAAAAGGAATTCCCGACAGCAAAGTCACGCCAATGGCTTTGTGTGTTCCTTCCTAAGGCAAGACTTTACTCTTTGCCATTAGCTATATGCAGAAGGCTTTACACATTCTAAACAAATAATCAGCTGACTCAGGGCTACTGAGTGGCTTACTCTGCTCAAGCCACGTCCACAAAGGCAGCAGTCCTATCTATGCAATGGATACCAAGATCAAGCCACGGTAGGTTCATTCAAGAGCATGAATCAGTTTTAAGTATCTTGGCAGATACCATTGCAAGTAAGATGATAAAGGAGAAAATAATTATAATACATGAAAAACATGTTCTAAATTTATAAAAGGCATTATAATTAGCCCTCACATAGCTTTCCTAATGGAGGAAACATATATAAATAGTCTCAAATGGCAAGCAAAATG